TTACCATATGACCCAGCAATTCTAATCCTAGGTATATACTCAAAATAAATAAAAACCATGCATCCACATAAAGATTTATACACAAATGCTTATAACAGCATTATTCACAATTGCCAAAATGAAGAAATAACTCAAATGTTCATTGAGAGATGAATGAATAAACAAAATGTGGTATCCCGATACAATGGAATATTATCTGGCCATAAAAAGGAACAAGGTACTGACATACAGTCAGACAGGGATGAATCTTGAAATCATTATGCTAAGGGAAAGAAGCCAGTCACAAAAGATCACATATTACAAGATTCATTTATATGAAAGTTCCAGAATAGGCAAATTCATAGAAACAGAAAGTAGACTGGCAGTTGCTTGGGTGTGGTAGGGGGAGGGGAGGCACTGGGGGAAATGGGCACAGGGTTTCTTTTTGGTGTAACGAATATGTTTTAAAACTAGACTGTGATGATGGTTACACAACTCTGTGAATATATATATACACTGAATATATTAAAAAAAAACACTGAATTGAATGGGTGAATTGTGTGGCATATTAATTATAACTCGGTAAAGCTGTTACAAAAAAACAACAACTGACAGTGATTCCATACTAAATGTGAACTCAGCATCTACAAATGCAAAAAAACTGACCAGGAAAGCCTTTGTAACAAAGACGCCACACTGCCAGCAAAGAACCAGGTCAACTCAGAACCCACAAAACAAGAGGGCAATCAGCAGATCAGAGGAAGTCAGACCTCAAGAGAACAGGTCACAGTTTATTCTCCTAGCCACAATGGTTGGGTGCTGTCACCAGTTCCCAGTAAGGAGGAGCTGGAAGTGGATACAGAACCTCACCGTTGCCTATTATTATTCTACTCTGATTTCATGGACACAGCTGTATCTCTCTCACACACAAAAAAGGTTAAATAAATAGGGGAGTGGGTTTCTCCGGTGGCGCTAGTGGTAAAGAACACATCTGCCAATGCAGGACACATAAGAGATGTGGGTTCGATCCTGGGTTGGGAAGATCCCCTGGAGGAGGGCATGGTAACCTACTCCAGTAATCCTGCCTGGAGAATCCCATGGATAGAGGAGCATGGAGGGCTACAGTCCATGTGGTTTCAAAGAGTCAGATACAACTGAAGCGACTTAGCACACAAATGGGGAGCAAAGGCATAAGTACGAAGGTTAACCATTAGACAAAAATAAAAACCTTCCTATTTTTAAAATAGAAGAGCAAAAACTACACATCACAGCATAAAGAAATAGCAAGTATAACAAAATACACATGATTATAAAATATTATGATAGACCAAACATATCAGTCCTAACAGTAAATGTGATGGGCTTAACTCACCTACTAAAATAAACAGGTTGAATCTGGCTCACAAAACAAGTATTTGTATAAAATACACATCTAAAACAAAGTAATCATGAAAGGTTAAAAATAAAAGGATGGCCAAATTATACAAGGCAAATGCAAACATAAAGAGAGCACGGGTGGGGAATCTGGAATCAGGCAAAGCAGAATTCAAGTCCCAAAGCATTCATCATGTCAAACGAAGACACTTTAATGTTAAAAGTCACAATCCTCGATGAAGACAGAGCAAATAAAAATACACATATTTACAGCAAATAACACTGCAACCACCTTCATGAGACGAAAACTACAATAGATGCAAGGAGACATAGAAACACTAATAATAGGAGACTTTCATATAACATGCTTAGTGGTATTAAGACAAAGATGAGATAGAAGATCTAAACAGCAAAATCAACAGAGTATATCTTAAGTATATTCATCAAACTCTACATTCTGATACTAGACAATATTCTTCTGAAGTTTCTACATCACATTCACCAAAAATCAACATACATTAGGTCACAAAGAACACATCAGTTAGCTGCACATAATAGAAACATTACAAACAAAACTTTCTGATCATAATGCAATAAAACTAGTTTACTAATAAAAACAAAAAACAAATTTCACCTAGAAATTTTAAAATCTCTTATTAAACAATTCCTGGATACTCTAACATAGAACATAGATCTTTTTTATTAGTTGGAGGCTAATTACTCTACAATATTGTAGTGGGTTTTGTCATACATTGACATGAATCAGCCATGGATTTACATGTGTTCCCTATCCCGATCCCCCCTCCCACCTCCCTCTCCACCCGATCCCTCTGGGTCTTCCCAGTGCACCAGGCCCGAGCACTTGTCTCATGCACCCAACCTGGGCTGGTGATCTGTTTCACCCTAGATAATATACATGTTTCAATGCTGTTCT